TTCTGACGAGCGTGAAGAGGAAGCTAAGAAACACAACCTGCGTTACTGAGCTCCTGTGGGGACGTGGGTTGCAGCCCTTCACGTATGGGGAAGGGCCCTTGGAGGCCACCTGAAGCATAGGGACCTTTCTGGGAAGCTGGGCTTTTCTGAGCTTCCAGGTTGTCTCGTGTGTGCTAGTTTAACATTTTACTCATTGCTGCTCTAAAAACCTGTTTTTCTCATGCCTTATGTCCCTGCCAGTAAAAGTAAGCAGCAGGAGTAGCTGGCTGAGCACTGTGCTTGCCAGTGATGGCAGTGCCCAAAGGGAGAACATGGGCTACTGAGCTCGTTTCCTGCAGCTGAGGAGTTACCAACAGGAGAAGTCGCAATGGCCTGCTCCCTGAGGTGAAACGCATGTTAAGGTCTCACCCTTTAAGGCATTAAGGGTGAGGTACATAATGCGAAGGGGCACACTAAAATCCTGCAGACCAGTGGTACAGCTGCTTCTGGAACAAAGCTTTGAGTGCGTTACATCCAGTCCCTCCTCACTCACCTACTCCTTAAGCAAGGGCTGCCGAGTCACTTAGGGTGACAGTACTTAAGCATCTAAAGAAGCGCAAACCTCTTTGGAAAAATCTACCACTTTTGCTAATTAACTTCCAATTTTAAGAAAAAAACATTGTAAATTTTTTTTTAACCTGTTAGCTTCTCTATACCTCAGTTTCAAGACTTGAAAGCACTAGGTATATTACTTGTGAAATACAGGTAACATTTTATTTTGCGCTATTATAAGGTCTATCATATAATCATAACAGAAATGTCACTACAACTAAGCTGTGGCAGAGACAGGAGGATAGTACTCAGCAGCACTGGAGAAGAGCTCTATGCAATCTCATGCGATTAACTTCACAAATGTGACATCTTTGAGATGCATAAAAATGCATGTACATCAAACTTGTAATTTTATGTGGTCTAAACTTTCAGGATATGAAATTGCACGAAATGGAACGATTGCAGATAAGAAGAAGCTGAAGATGAAGAGGCTCTTCCCATTTTACACACAGTTATATTTATTTGTTAGATATCTCAAAAATAAGTAAACCTTGGGAATTCAATCTTTCTTTTGGATCTAAAGGTACATGTATAATCAATGCTGCTGTTTGTAGATGGCTAGTAGGTTTCAAAGAGACTGTGTGTCTTTAAAATGCCAACAGGAGTAAGAGCAAGCTGTAACAGCCATAAAACATACCCGTACCTGTGTGACACTGTCATAGCCTGTTTGAGACTGCAGAGTGGGCAGCACAATGTTGCGAGTTGGTATTGCGGAAAATGCATGCTCTGGGTACTTCTGCTGCATGTGTGACAGCTGATGAGTGCTTTAAGCATCAGCAGGCGCTTTCACTGTTTCACAGGGTGGGTGATCCACATGCAAAGCAGACCAGAGAACTGTGTGTTTGGTGCAGTCTTTCAGCCTCTTCCTCAGCCAAGGGACCGGCTCACCAAACTGTCTGACGGTTAGCCCCGTGCCAAACCGTGCTGAGCGCGTGAAGGTGCTGGGTTTTGCAGTGACTGCTGCCACGGCTGCCCATGGCTGGGGAAGTAGCCACAGTGAGTCTGCCTGCTCCACGTGGCATGGTTGTGCTCCAATTAACAGCCTCCCGGCAACTGCAGCAAACATCCACTTGGAAACATGCGCCCAGTAATAGGAAATTAGAAATGCCAGCACTGTGTCACCATCCAGGTTTCTGTTCATCATCAGCAAAGTGCTGCAGAGGTACAGACCTTAGCCTGAAAACCTTTTGCTATTTTTTCAGTCGGAAGCAAAGAATGAGAGAATATGCACGTGTATCCATTTGTAAGATGTTTCTGACCAGCCTCTGTAAAATAATGAACGGTATTTAATCTTCAGGAATTTCATTTTAATGTCTCTACAACAACAGCAACAAAAATATTAAAATGACCTCTCTTCCTTCCAGTCTATAATTCTTATATTTAATGGCACTTTGTTTCAATAATTGCTTTCATGCAGAAAATAATACCCAAAACAATACTCTCATTATTGTCTAGGCAGCTCAGTGGAAGCTCCAAGAACTCATTAAAATACACTTTTCATGCAATTTGCATTACAATAATGCAGATTAAGTCTCTTGAAAAGTAGACATGATAAAGTCAAATGTATTTCCAGAAATTTGCCCAGACTGTTTAGCTATTGTTATATGTTAATCCCATTACTTTTCATAATCTGAACTTTAAATGATGAACAGATTATTTCGCTACATAAAGGCAACATAAATTAGGGTGTGCTTTCTGAATTTTTTTTAATATCAGTACAACACAAAATATAAGGGATAATATGATGTATCTTTCCTGTCTCCAAGACATTTCTAGGTAATAATGCTGCTTTTATAAACAGGAAAAAGTTTGCCACGGTGGACAGTCATCTCAGTATATGTCCTTAAACTGAAAGGACATTGGTTGTTTTTTAAGAATAGTTGTAGTGCATGTTTGCTCTTCACTTCAGTATCTCTTTTTCTGTTGACAATTATCATCACTCCTGATAGACCGCTGACTGAGCTGAGAAAACGGTCATCTTCAGTTAATTCCTCTCCCTCAGATGCAAAAACCTAGATGTGCTTGTGTACCCTCCTCACTTCTTACATCTCTTCTTTCTGCCTGTGCAGCTAAAACGCTTGCTGGAAATAGTCTTAAGGGCAGTAGTGGCTTTTCCCTGTAGGAAAGGTGTGGTAATGTTAGAGTACAAATACAACATACATGCTGAATGTAATACACTATTTCAAAGAATGGACTATATTTTCAAAGAGTTGAATGCTTTGAGGAGTTTCGAAACTGAATAGTAGGACAGCTACCAGTAACTATTTCAAAGTAAGCTTCAAATTTTGTATTTTTCAATGCGGGGGCGGGTGGAAACCTGATGTTCTACAGGTAGTATGAGCCGATTCATGTTTTATTTTCTAGATGTCCCATTACATTAGTATGTTTTGAGTATGCTCACTTCACGTTTAATTTTATTCTTTTAAACGTGCATACAGAGAGTAGGCGGGGTTTACTTCATTTAAATTTAGATACAGCCAACCATGTTTGTTTGGTTTTTTAAACCTTTTTTTTGTTTGAAAATAAGACTCTTTTTATTGTATTCTTTTCAGAGGAAGGAGGGGTAGTTACTAACTATTCTGGGTATTGAATTAAGTACTTTTCATCTTCTTTTTTTGATATTGACAACATTTAAAGCATCTGGATCCTTTTCAAGGCTGGTCTGAGAATAGCTACGCTAAAAGGAACCCATCGGTTAAAACAAGCTCGTCAGTAACTCTGTTTCTGCTCTTCAAGTGTTGCAGGTGGAGAGCTCTTCGACTTCTTAGCTGAGAAAGAATCTCTCACAGAGGAGGAAGCCACAGAATTTCTCAAACAGATACTTAATGGTGTTCAGTATCTCCACTCTCTGCAAATCGCCCACTTTGATCTTAAGGTGTGTTGAGCAGATAAAAACTTTGACAATTGTAAGCAACAGTTCTTTGTGACACCAGCCACAAATCTGCCATTGTGCAGATCTTGACCATGGTTTTGTTTTGCTAGTTTATGTAGACAAGGGAAAGCTCAGCCATTGAAAAGAAATTACTGATCCGTACACAAATAGTTCCCATCTGTTTCTAATGTAAGATTCTTCATGGAAAATGGCAACTTCCAATGAAATTAAACCATTCTGAGTAAGCAATCTTGAAATAAAAATTATGATTATGATTTTATGGAATGTGAATGGGATCTGGATGAAACATTCTGAACAGGATGCGTTTTTTCCAACTTTTTTTTTGCTGTTGTATACATTTTATGTTCACCTGAACATTATTTATAGGTACTAAATTGAAATAGTACAGAGTTAAGTACAAAAATTCTTGCGGAGCAGACAGCTGATAATTTCCTCTTCTTTTTTTGCTTTTGGAGCTTTTTTGCTTGTTTTTAGAAAAATGTTAATTGCATCCTTAATTTCAGAATGTTTTCCTCTGTAAGATTTTTTTTCAGAGGTAGGCAGCTGAACATTCCCTGGAGTCTGCTGAAGTCAGCAGCTATGTCTGTAATAGGAAAAGGAGGCATAATTACTATATTGCAATGCAGTTCTGAAAGGGATGCTGTGTTCTGGGGATGAGGTAGGGAAGGGAATGGTTTTCAGGGTAAGCATACCTTTTCCAGTCTCATCCTCGTTACCTACAGTAATATATTTGGTCTTTGTATGACAGTCAGCAAGAGAATTGTGAATCTAGTAAGAAATACATTTCCTGCAATATGAAATGTAAATTTTTGCCAATATACTTGTAATAAAACAAAGCATCCTTACACTGGATACCAAGAATATGTGAATTAAAGTATGCAGCAAGAATTGAAGTGTGCAGAACAATAAAAGTATGCAATAGAAATGTAGGGAAGGAAGGAAGAAAATTACGTTTGCACATATCAGCCGCTGTAATTGGGCGAGAGAGGTAAAAGAAGGGTGGTGGTGAAGATCTGTCCTTAATGACTCCAGAAATCCGTAACAATGTGAGCAGGATGGCTGTAGCTCCAGGAACTCTTCAGAGCGGTGTCAGCTTGTGGACGTGACAGGATATGGAGACTAAGTAGCTGGTTTTGTATGCCAGTTAAAGTGATGGAGTGCAGAAGCAGGCTCCTTTGATCATACTCTTGACGTTTTATCTTCTACCTCTGTTCTGTTTTTGCAAATCTTTGTTGTAAAATAATCCAAAGTCCATATTTTAAAATATAGCTAGAAAAGGCATGAGAACCTGCTCTTCATCCTTTTTTGTAAGTATGTTGAGCCTTAAAATCTGGGAGCTGGACCACTCCTAAAGTTTCTCTTGGAGATCCAAAGGGAACAAGATATACCTTCCTGATTGCTTGTGCAGTATGAAAGAAACCTCCTTCAGGGAGTAATGTTTACCAAGCCCAAATACTAGTTTATAGGACTTTGTTTCTTGCAAGCTCCCAGCACTGCTCGAATGGCTGTAGCGCAGGGGCTGTGGTCTTTACTAAAGACAGCGTGTTTCACTTAGGGTCGGTCCACGTGAAAACTGCAACTGTTTTATCTACAAGAGGTAAAATCTTGGCCCTGTGGAAATCGTAGCAGTCTGTCATCAACATAAAATCCTAACTCACTATAGTTAATTTTTAGCATATGTTAGTAATAGGAAAAGACAGGTTTTTTTCTGCTGAAGACACAATTCAAGAGGCTGAAGGAGGTAAAGAGAAGTGTTCAGTGCTGAAGAATGCTGGTATGTGTCAGACACTTCATACCTGTGTATAATCTCTGTTTCTCTCTCCCTTCCTCCTTCTCAAAGCCTGAAAACATAATGTTGTTGGACAGGAATGTACCAAAGCCTCGAATCAAGATTATTGACTTTGGTTTAGCACACAAAATTGACTTTGGAAATGAATTCAAAAATATCTTCGGAACGCCAGAGTTTGTTGGTGAGAAAACTGTTGTTTCTTCAAACTACTCTTTCTCAGTCTGTGAAATGGTATATGTGGCTTAGCTTGGTTTGGCTGAGTTAAAGATTATGTAATTTGTGTGTAATTCATGACATTTTGAAATTTAAATAAACAATTTGTAGAATTCAGTTCCAACTTAGACTTCCGTTAAGGTGTTTTTATCTATCAGCATCTTAGCTTATTATCTCTGACATATATAGGCTCAGAGTGACATAGATCTGTTCTTTGACTAGGTACTGATCTTCCTGCTTTCTCCTTTAGCTCCTGAAATAGTAAATTATGAGCCTCTTGGTCTTGAAGCAGATATGTGGTAAGTTATTGGATCTTTCTTGAAATAAATCTCTCATGATTATTCTTACATTCTAACCCTTTTTTTTTTTTCTCTCCTCTCTCTCCCTCCATCTGTTTCTCTCCCCTCTCTCTCATCCTTCCCCCTGCCCCCACCCACCTCCCTTCTTCACTCCAGGAGCATTGGTGTAATAACTTATATTCTGTAAGTACCAAAATCTATGGGATATTGCAAATGCTGGTTTTTAAATTCTGATTCTGTCCTCTGGGTTTTTGATGGTGTCTATACAAGTCAAACTATTTTCATTGCACATCATGATTCAAGTTGAATGATCATAAAAACAATAGTATAATTACTGTAAGAATGGCCATTAGTCAGCATTGAGATAGCATAGGAAGCTGTCTTCAAATCTGTAGGTGATTTTCCACAGCAGCTTTATCTTAATCAATATTCTCTGAAATTACAGCAAAGCTTTTTGCCCTGCTAGATCACATCTTCCTGAAAGTACGTTTGCAGTCTTAAAGCAGAAAAGAAAAATGTTCGCTTTTTGCTGTTACTTGATCTCAGAGGGTTGAAACAGCAATGTTGCAACATGTAATGAGAGGAATGTTCTGTCTTTCTTGCAGTCTAAGTGGTGCATCACCATTTCTTGGAGAAACCAAACAGGAAACATTAGCAAATGTGTCTGCTGTGAATTATGAATTTGAAGAAGAGTTCTTCAGCAATACCAGTGCCCTAGCTAAAGATTTTATACGAAGACTTCTAGTCAAGGATCCAAAGTGAGTTGTTTCTCTTGTGTATGCACTGTTGCAGCCTATGTCTCTAGTATTTCAAATTACATGATATTTTGAGATGTTAGTTTAATAAACATATAGTGGTATATATTTTTTACTATCTGAAACAGTTCTATCTTTTATTCTATTAAAGGAAGAGAATGACTATTCAGGATAGTTTGCTGCATCCTTGGATCAAGGTTAGCATGTAATTAATTCTCTGTTGTCCTGTTTTTAATCATTCTTCATTTCATACTTCGCTTTCACTTTTCGAGTTCCTTAACAAGGAAAGTTGGCATAATCATTTAATATAACTTACTGTTTTGGAAAGCTGTCTGTATGAAAACTCATACGTGCAGAATGTGGACTTCATTAACATATCCTCTATATAAGTTAGCAATAGGGAAGTAGCCCACTATTGAGATTAAAATCATGCTCAGGCAGAGAAGCTAATCTTCAGGGAGCATAGCACTGACAAATATGCATTCACTGAATCCAGTCCAATTTCCTCTCACATTTTTCATCTTCTAATCTCCTTATTCAGACTGGGCAAAAAAGGGTCATCTCTCTTCTGTACTTCCTCTTTAGGCTGAAGAAAGCAGTTGATGCGGGGCAGCGGTCCACTACTTCTTTCAGTGTTCCATAGTGTTTGGTTTGGTTCAAGCTGTTGTGGTGCTACTAGGTTGAGAGGGAGAAAATGGGACCTATCATTCTTCTTAATGTGTGTAGTAATACCTGCCACTTAATTTTTTTCAATTCCATGTCACATTCGGTTGTGAGCATTAAACCTCTTCAGTGCCATTGATTTCCCAGGGCTTGGGGATGCACAGTGAGTATTTGACCCCAGTCCACTTCCCAGAGAACCAGTTAGCAGAATATTTATCTGTGCCACAGCTGCGCCATTTCACAGTTCAGCACCCTAGGGCAGACATTTCTACACCAATACACCAAACTACAGATTTGTGCTTTGCCGACTTTCTGGTGGGATAATCTGAAACAGTTGAAACATGTTGAACATGTTGAAACGATCTTTCAAACTGCTGAAGCAAGCATTGTCCAAGTTTGTCTCTCAGGGACCAAGGTCTTCACTCCTGCAACAAGACACATTGTTTTGTACCCTGTTAGAGTTCCTTAACTTTGTTATCTTAACTTTCCGAGCATTCTCTTCCCACCCCATTGGTCATATCCTCTTTTCCCCCTTCCCATCACTACGTTTACCTGCATTTCTCCATAAAAATTACTTCAAGTGTGGGATCATATAATGCAAAGTTTGGTATACTCCACTGGTAACCGGTGCTTACTATTAGCCTATGAGAAAGTTCAAAGGGTGCAGCCTTAGAGCTTGCTGCACAGGTAGGTGGGATGTGATTTTTTTGGGTCCCAGCAGCATCCAGCTGTTTACACTGAGACCGGAACAAAGTTTGACTACGTCTAAAATCAGCCAGGAAATCTTCCCGGAAGAGAAGATTTATCTAGGAGATGATACCTGATGCCTCTGTCACAGAGGGAGTTGAAGGATAAAGCTGAATGTTCTGTTGGCTCTTGGCTTTTTTTGTTTAAAAGGGAAAAACAAATTTTAGTATTACAAGAAATATTATTAGGTCTGGATTTCCTTTATGGTATTTTCTCAAGAAATTCCGTCTGCATGCCCCACTAGGCTGTGGATGTTAAAATCACGTGTTTACAATTTATTATTACAGTATGGTTACAGTATTATAATGTAAGTGGAAGTTGTCACTGAAGAACAGGGTCTTACATACAAGAAGGTGCTTTATGAAAGTTCTGGTTGTGATTGTGGGATATTTTACAACAGCTTTATTTTCCTTTTGCGCATAGCCTAAAGACACCCAGCAAGCACTTAGTAGAAAAGCATCTGCAGTGAATATGGAGAAATTCAAAAAGTTTGCAGCACGACGAAAGTGGAAAGTAAGTCATTCAATAAATCTTCAAAATGTTGGTGACATACAAATGCAGTAGCGTTACCTGCTCCAAGGAAGCATCCAGTGCCTTTAAGAGTGGAGAAGGAAGGAAGAAGAAACCCATTCCTCTGTCATTTGGAATAAATTGGGTGCTTGAGTATGGTGGTATAGGAGAAGACTTCTTTGTTAATGATCTGCATACAAATGCTTGTGAGTGGATTGTTTGTTTATGCATCTAGCTGTATGCTGTCATCATGTGTCTTGGTAATGTTTTCTGAGAAAAGGCACTTCTAAGTGTAGGTACATGTTTTTGTGACAGTAATCCCAGTAAATCGAACATCCCTTAAGCAGGCCTTGCAGAATTAATTCTTCCAGTAGTTATGCCAACACTCAACAGAGTAGGAAGGAAAAACTAGTCTCTTTTGCAAAGGATTTTTGGTCTGAGACTGCCAACCTGTTTAGAAGGTTGGCATCACTTAATCTTTCCAGAAGTGGGGCAAGGTATTAGCTGAAAGCGTTGATCTGTGCAAGGAGCAGTTCATCAAGACAGTTATCCCTCCTCCTTCAGTGTGCACATTGGGGAATTCACACTGATACTAAGCAAGGGCAGGGCTGTTGTATGAGAAATCTGTTTATCACGAGGAGAGATGAAACATGAGACAACAGAGGTCACTATTATTAGAAAAGCAGTTTTATTCATTGTTACAGAGGCCAAGAAATATGGGATGATTTTGCTAAGCTGTGGACCAAAGTCATAAAACAACCCAGCTGCGCAGTACGATATTTTGCCACCATTTAGCGTCTGTGTTAGGTGAACATCTATGGTATTTATAAAATTTTAAGTACTAGTGTGCTGCCCTGGAATGAAACGGTGAGTCTAGGAATATCTTAAACTGTTTTGTAATATGGCATTTGAAGGAATGCTGTCAGCTAATTTACACTCAGTTTAGGTTTTCTTTGTGTACATACTTTAAAATATGTACATTTAGCTTTGCTTAGTGTATATGAATAGCCTATTTGGATTATAAATGTCAAAAGAAATAGAAGGTTCAAATGCAATATAAAAAGGAGATGGGGGGGTGTTGAAGTCAAACTCCAGTTTGTTTTGCTAATACGACAGTACTCCTTTAAAATCTCTGCAATAGCATCTTATCACAAGTATTCTGTTTTGGTTTTTTTTTTTACATATAGCTTTTTTCTTCTTATTTTTAAAAAGCAATCAGTGCGCTTAATATCCTTGTGCCAAAGATTATCAAGATCTTTCTTGTCCAGGAGTAACATGAGTGTCGCTAGGAGTGATGATACTCTGGTAAGTGTGTACTTGTATGCTTAGAATGCTTTACTACATCTGAAACTTAACATTTTCTGAAATGATTCTAACAGAAATATTTGGCTATTGAAAAATGTGCATAACTAATCTCATATGTAGGAAGAAATAGATTTTAAGGCTACAGAGATCAGTTATCCATAGTCTGATCTTCTGCATGACACAAACACTGAAATTTAACTTATTAATTACCATGGTGAGACTGATAGCTAATGCAAGAAATTCATCTATCTTGGTTTTGAAGTTCGATTCAGGAGGATTTTTTGTACTGTAGCAATTACAGTGTGAAAAAGGTGCATCTGAATTTTCCATAGCACTGTGTAGAGTAAAATAATATTGCATTTTTTAACAGAATATTCAAAATCATTGAAACCCTCTTAGATCCAATGAATGCTAGACAGCAGTATCACAGCAAGCAGTTATTTAAGGAGGAAATCTTAAAGTATTCAGTTTGTAGTATTACAAACATTAGATACATCTACTAGATTTAAGTAGTCAGGAGCAATTGCTGTATGCTTTGTAATTACAAATGCTTGTAAATCCAAAAGCATTCTTATTTAGCTTACTCTCCAGGTTTTAATACATGCTTCACAAATTCCCTGTGATCAGCTAAGTATGTATGCTCATATGTTTAGAGCTGGGTAACCTCATCTTTTCTGTGCAGTAATAGGATCAAACTTCAAAAATTCTGCAAAGCCCTTTTTATCCATATTATCTTCCCTGTGTCCCTCCTGTGCAACTCTGCACTCGTTTCCACTTTTCCTCCTCTTATCTTTCTGCTTCCATGCTCTGTTGTCTCAGTCTTGCCCTCCTTTCCCTGCCTCCCCCACCTCAGCTATCAGTATGCCTTTAACACTGGATCAGCGTTTCACACCTGTGTTGCAGCAGAAAGGATTTTAGCCTAATATTAGTGTTCTAAAAAATCTGAAACCTCAGGAGAGAGGAGGTAAGAGTGATCCAAATATTTGGCTTGGTGAATTTCAGTTCTTTGACATTTTAGTGCATGGGAGAAAAATAAATTTACACCTGCAGAGCTATCTAGGCTCATTACTTATGTTCTAGATTTTTAACTGGTCCATTTGAGTAGATGAAATCTTGGTCCAAAGTACCTCTCCTGTGTCATATTCCTGGATGGTGCGAAACTTGATACTCCAGTTTGTATTTTTGTACCTCTTGGTTTTTTTAATGTTCACATATATGCAGGGAATTGGTTTCATTTCATGCAACTATTGCATCTATTGAAAGTCACAGGAGGAAAAAGAAAATACACCTAATGAAAGAAACCTGTTTGGAATCTCAATGAGTAATGGGTTAGTGTGTGAAGAAGAGGGAAGCATATTGTACTGGAAAAAGTGTGGGGGTTTTTGGTGGGGGTTTTCAAATAACATGCCTACATGTTAGCCATACGCTTCACAAAAGATTACAACTTGTAGCTGAAGCACTCTAAAAGACTTTGAAAATTTCACTGTTTTAAATTTTTTTAGATGTCTTGGCAGCTGTTGAGATAGGGATATTTTCCTTGAAGCTAACAATTTTTCTTCTTTCTCCTTTAATTACAAGGATGAGGAAGATTCTTTTGTGATGAAAGCTATTATTCATGCCATCAATGATGACAATGTTCCTGGATTACAGCACCTTCTGGGATCTCTCTCAAATTACGATGTCAATCAACCCAACAAGGTAGTGTGGGTCTGTTGAGGTGTGGGGGGGACTAGCTATCACCCTGTTGAATAGAGCAACGTGGTTGTAAAATAAATGTAACACCTGAAATGAAAAGGCAAGTGGATGTGAAAGAATTCTGCCTTTCTTTAGGAGAAATTTTAATGTGTTCTGTGTCAGTCTTCCCAAACTACTTGAAAAGAGAGCCTAAAATGTTTTTTTTTGCCTAGGCCTTTGAAAAAGTATGAATCAAATCTATTGTCAAGAGCTGTGGTATATCAGATAGCAGCCTTTGCTACTGTTGCAGCAGTAGCAACTGCTTTTGTTTGCAGTTGTTATTTCTTGTGGCAGATGAAGATGGTAGAATATGTAGGAATAACCGGACTACCAAAACGGACTTTGCAAAGCACTGTTAGAAACAAAAGTCCCATACTGTAGAAATTGGTTACGTGAACATAATATTAGATGGTGTCGTTCATTTTCAGAAATGAAATGACTTGCCTACTACAGTATTTCAGTGTGCTGCTGCTGTACTGGAGTACTCCTGCTAACAGTAGTATTGGAACTGACACCAAGAGGCCAAAGTTCTGTTGCTGGCTCTGCTGTTTAACCTTGGATAAATCATCTCTGCTCTAATTTTCACTTTTTTGAATGGTTATACTGACCTTCATTATAAAATACTTCGAGAAGTATTCATGAAGAGCACTATAAAAGTCAAGCATCTGTTATTGTACTGTGATGGGGTCTTGAACCTTTCAAGAAATCACTGTATTTTTTGTTTTAACGATGCAGTCCCCTTTAACTTTCCCATATGTTGCTGGTGGCTTGTTGTCTTTGAGGTGGTGTGGCAAACACCTTAGGTACTGGCTTAAAATGTAAATACAAAGAAGTTGCAAAGGTGAACATCCTTGCCAAATTAGGCTAATGAGAGCTTAACGTTAGTATTCCTAGTTTGAAAAGCATGCCTTTGATGTGTGGTGTATCATTTAGTAAATGTGAATTCATGCCAAAAATATGGAAGATTGCTATGCAATAAATTTCTCTGGACAAAGGGACAAATTTTTTTCTATACAGTATTCCCTGAAGACTTCATTTGAAACTGGAAATCCAGAGGTGCCATTCAATGCCTCCCTTCTATTCCACTCTCTTTTCTTGATCCTTCAAAAATTAAATATATTGTTCTTGCTTGTATTTCCTTGTTAGCATGGAACACCTCCGCTACTGATTGCTGCTGGCTGTGGAAACATTCAGATGCTTCAGTTGCTTTTAAAGCGTGGATCCCGTATTGATGTTCAAGATAAGGTCAGGGTTCTGCTTTGTCACCGTTCTGTATAAGTTTTTCAGTACAGTTAGCAGAGGACAAGCAGTTCAGACCAAGGTGTATTGGAAATGAAAAAATCTGAGCTGTAGAGCCTGTTTCCTGTCTTCCACAGCAAAAAGATAAAAGCAAATATTTAATAATGTCATTTATTACTAGTGCATATCCTCTGATTTTGATCACTTTATTCGCTGAAGTAATTTGAATGATACTAATCCTAAAATGTAGTTCGTGCTTACACAATTGCCTCAATTAGTTCAAATTAGTGATTGCCCTAAAACACAATGGTGAACATTATTTAATATGGAGTATAAATGCACATTTTAGTGATGAGGAATATCGCAACTAAAACTCATATGTGATGGAAGGTATGCTTTGCAACAAGCTTTTTTCCAAAATGTGTTGTAACGATCTGGGGTTCATTTAAAGCAAACTTGAAGCACACTCTGCTTTTCCATCAAATAGATGGTAAAGTAAGCAGCAGAAAAGTTTTTATCTCATGACTGTTCTTTCCAAAAAACTTCCTTAGAAGGGGGAAGAGGATTATCCTTGCAGAAGGTTAGTGCTCCTGTTAATCATCCTTGCATACAGGGGGGTTTGTTGTCATTGCTGGTATGTGGGTTGTTGAACCAATTTGAAGTTTGGTTTTTTTTTAAAAGTAAGCATGTCCCTATAAGCTTGAATAGCTGTTCAATATATCTGTGTACATCTAAGTGCATGTATACCTCAGTTGAAAATCTAGAATTAGGATACTAAATTGATCAATAACATCTGTAATCAAATATTTTTGACAGGCTGGATCTAATGCAATCTATTGGGCTTCTCGACATGGTCATGTAGAAACGCTGAAATTTCTCAATGATAATAAATGTCCTTTGGATGTTAAGGATAAGGTAAGAAAAAAAGTCTTTTCATTTTTCATGCAGAGAGTTTTTTTTTTTTTTAATAACTTTACCTTATCAAAGAGGGAGGTCTTTCAATTGGAATGATTTTCAGCTGTGCCATAGTTCCAAGAATATGACTGGCTTTTTTAATGTGGTTTTATAAGCTGACATATAGGGCTGTGATAACACAGCTTTAAAGTAGCTGGGTGTACTGATTACTTTCCTGACAAGTGTTAACCAAGCGTGCATATTAAATGTGGTGAGTACATGGTGGGTAGGTGGGGAAGTACGAACCTAAATTAATTTTCTCTTGAGGACTCAGGGTGAAATCGTGATTCTGTTTTTCATTGCTCTTGATTGAAAATCACTTTTGTCTGACAAGTAAATTTGACTGTTATTAAGTTGAGTATAATGAAGCCTAACAATTCATAGCTGATGAGCTTGTCTCCAGCAGTGTTACTTGAGCAACGTTTGCCCTAGAAACTAGTTACTGTTAAAATCTTATACCGTAGCAATGTTTTTATACTAGCCAAAGCTCCAGTACAGAGGCAATTATACTTGTGAAACACAGTTTGCTTTATTGAGGGAACTAGTGCAAAGCAGGGCACGTTAGCAAAATTAGTGTTCGACTCCTCATAGGGCTACTAGGTAAGAGGTTACTCTTTTAATAAAAATACCATTTCTTGTTCATATAATTTCAACAAAGGGTTGCAAATAATTAAATGTAATGACCAAAATACGCCAGGATATAGCAAGGTGTTAGGCCAACTCCTTACATTTGTATATACAGAGCAGAGGGGGGGGCGTATGGATATAGTATGAATAGAAATAGGACATCTGTTTCAACACCAATTGGTCACGCAGCTGCCTCCTCATATTGCTCAGAAATCCCATTGTGGCTGTGACCTGGAACAAACTTAAGTAGGAAAATAAGTTCTGAAAAGGGAAAGCCTTTGAAGAAATAACCTGTCAGGTGGTGGTGTATCTGTCACGTACAACTACAGTTTGTAAGCGGGAGATCTCTGCTGACGACAGCTGTGCCGCCAGGTTATGGGGAGGGAGGAGTACCCCATGTAGCATTCAGGCTGTACATGGCAGTGTATACCTAGGGATGACATATGAAATTACACTGGCATGTTCTTCTGTAATTGCAGTCTGGGGAGACAGCTCTCCACGTCGCAGCTCGGTACGGGCATGTGGATGTGGTTCAGTTTCTCTGTAGCATTGGATCCAATCCAAACTTTCAAGACAAGGTGAGTCATGGACACTGTCTGTTTTTCTTCAACAAATAATGCTTTAGTATGTGTGATCAAAACTCTTAGTCTTGCCTTGCAGCCTCTGGCATGTTTGCATTTGAAAAAAATAACAGAATTATGGAGGTGGCGATACCTCTTAATAGATGAAGACTATGCAAAACACAGTGTGCATGAACCAACTACTGTTATAAAACAGTAGTTCTCTCAAAAATTAAAGTTTAAAGATGGAGAAGGTCAACACCACGAAGGTATGGGTGGTGGTGTGTGCTCTGTGAGTTCAGCTAAAGCTTTTTATTAGTTTTTGCCTTGACTTTAGCTTGGTTTTAGCCGTCATGTGACTTTTCTGAAGTGTCAAGCACTCATTTTTGAAAACGAGAGGAGGGCTCACAAGCTTCTTCACAAGGGCTTCTTCAGAGCTCTGAACTCTTGTGAAAAGCAGGAAAGAAAAGGCTTAATAGGAAAAAACATCCATTTGACCCAAATTTAACTGTGTGTGGGAGTTCCACAAGCCTCCCCAAGTCCTGCATCCTCTAGGACTTCTTTATATTGTTTAAGCAGCAGCAGGCCAAGGGATCACAGGACGTGCTGGTCGACTATTTTTTTTTCCTCAGGTTTTTACAGAAACCTTGAATACAGTGTAAGTCCTCTAATATTATCAGCATCGATTGTATGCTCATTGATATTTACCGGGTACAGAAAGGATATCCTATTTCTTAGAATTTGATAGAATTACTTTTTTGGTGGGTTTTAGTCCTCCCTGATTTTCAGCGGGATACTTTCAATAGTGTATTTTTGTAAAACATTTGAGTTTTTTAATGATGTTCCACATAACTGTTATGAAGTACAAGGAGATGGAAGGTGAATTATTTTGAAGCTTCCTGGGTTCAAGCAAAAAGCAAAGTAGAACTTCAGACACAGCTGAACTCAAAAAGCCTACAGTTTCAAAGGCTGCACGTTTAAATGACTCGGGTTTCTAAGTACCCAAGTCACTGCCTACACTCCTAAATCATTAGGATGTGCTTTTTGGAGATGGTAAGCAGAGTGATCTGCCTCAAACTGCAAGTCTAGTGGGATTTGCATCTCCTTGGTGAGTGATCTGTTTTAAACACTGGGCTGGTCGCTCAGCGCACAGGATGTAGAAGTTGCTTATGAATGAGGATCAGTTTTCAAGTGAGAGAACCGAGTTAGTTAGCTTCAGGAGTATGGAAATATCTAAGCTAAGATTGCTGCCACATAAGGTGTTGTCAGTAGATAGTTTTATGGTGAGAAATACGGACTCTCAGAATCCAGGTAATGATGAAAATCTAGTGCGTTACCGTAATCACTTGGCATGTCAGCAGGAGTTATTCTCGCTTTGAGAATGTCAGCATTAGAAATTACAACATCTTGTTATAGGTCTTACTTAGTAGACTGTCTTTTTTCTTTCGTGCCATCTTCCTGTCTTTCTAAGTTAAGCTGGGGAATTGTTTCTCCTGGCATTTGGTTCAGCTCTGTTGTTCTGGTTTTTTTTATTTTCTGTGTTGATAGGAAGAAGAAACCCCACTGCATTGTGCTGCTTGGCACGGCTACTACTCTGTTGCCAAAGCACTCTGTGAAGCAGGTTGCAGTGTGAACATTAAAAACAAAGAAGGGGAGACTCCGCTCCTGACAGCATCTGCTAGGGGTTACCATGATATTGTGGAATGCTTGGCAGAACACAGGGCTGACCTTGATGCAACAGACAAGGTTAGTTTGAGTTGCTTTTGGTCAGGAATTGCATCCAGACATCACAGGTGTCACAGAGCCATATCTCTGAATTGCTTCATTTGAATGCTGCA